TTGATCCTAACATTATTTACACCGTGCCTTTAAGCACGGGCATACACTAGTATATATATACGGCCCAAAACAAACAAATCACAATCCATATCTCTCTCTCTCTCTCTCTACTCCTCCTTTACGCCACTGCCATTGTCACAACACCAAAGTCGCCGTCTGCTTTGCGCAACCACCTCATTCGTCACCTCCTTCCATCATCGCTGTCCTCTTCCGTCGTTCGTTGCTGCCGCCACTACTGAAGGCCACTCAGATCTACAGATTCATCATCATTCGTCCTCTACTCTACCGTCGGCCAAATCTGTAGATCTTTCATTATCATATACAACCATATCTTGAATCACATATGTGAGACCTAGATCAAGTATGATAGAGGACCATGGTAGCGTAGCTGAGAAGTATGAGGAAGATGAAGTAAAGGTTAGAGGAGAAACCGAATAAGAGGTAAGGTAAGAAAAAAATCTGAACACTTCTCTCTCTCTCTCTCTCTCTCTTTCTCTTTCTCTTTCTCTTTCTGTGTGTTATAACACTTCTTTGTCTCTCTCTTTCTAGGAATTGTTAAACATCGAATGAATCAGGAATATGTGGTGTGTGTGTTTTTGAAGATTCGAAAGAGAATCATATATGAGTCGTGTGTGTGGACATGAGTGTTGTTTGCCTAGGTTTATTTATTTATTTATTTTACATTTTTTTTTACTATTGTAATATTATGATCTAAGTGGCTTCAGATTCTACAATTTTTATTTATTTGTTTATTTATTTTTTTTGTGATTGTTAGTTGTTGTTGATATTGATGATGATATGTTATTGTTGTTGATGTTGATGATAAACCAGATTGCAAATCAATATGTTTGGCTTCGCAGAGAGAGAGAGAGAGCAGGTTTAACAGATAGATATAGAGATTGAATAGACAGGTCAAAAAATTGAACAAATAAAGTTTGGTTTGACTTGGTATTGCAACAGATAGGGTTGGGTTGGCTCAATAGATATGGTTTGGTTTTCCTTGTATTTCAACAGATAGAAAAAATATTTAAACAGATTATAAAGAATTTTGACAAATAGATTATTAAGAAAAAATTGAACAAATAATAAAATTTTGGACATATATTTGAACATATGAAGGAAAATTTTGAATAGATAGGCAAAAAATGCAAAAAATTAGATAGATAGACAAAAAAAAATTGGATAGATAGAATTTCATTTGGACAAATATTTAAACAAATAAGCAAAATTTGAATTAAAAAGGTTAAACAATTAAATATATAGGGTAAAAAAATTTAAACAGATAAGAAAAAATCTGAACGGATAGTCAAACAAAATGTCTTACAGGACTTCTCACCAAACTATTAAAGCGTAGACCTCTTACCAACAAAAAAATATTCACTGGATCTAATGTCTTAGACACTCTGTAAATTGGATTTATCACCAATTTTCTTTAAAATATTTATTTTTTCATCGATTTTGCTTAATGAAAATAGACAAATGGTTTAAATTGAAAACAAATCAAAAGTTTAAGATTTAAATTGATAAAATTAAAAATTCAAGATTTATTTTATTACAAAACTAATACCTTGAATTTTTTATTTTTGGTTTTAAAATAACTCAAATTAATTTCAAATTTTTTTAATATTTGACATTTAAAAATAAGAATATATATGTATATATATTTATTTGTTTTCGAAATAAATTTTTACTTTTTCGTCCTTTATCTACCATCTTTAGCCACCATTCACAGAGACACTGTAGCTATCCACCACTACCGATCACTGTTAATTGGCCAATCGCCAACGACCCTCTTAGAAGTGTAAAAATGGCTCGCGGCCCATGGGCAGCTTGGGGTAGGCCCGGCCCGTTTAGGCCCATTTGGGCCTAAGCTCGAGCCCAATCCGAGTCCCTAGGCCTAGGCCATCATTTTGAAGTTCGCCCGACCTGCTTGGCCTAACCCATTGGCCCGCTCAAGACCCAGCCCGAAGCCTTGCCCACTCGAGGCTTAGTGTTTTTTTCAGTGGAAAATAAAAAAAAATTAGTAAAAAAAATTTAAAAAAACAAAAAAAAAATTAGTTAGGCCGGCCCAAGCCCAAGGCCAGGCCAGGCCCATTGGGCTGGTCTGAGGCCTGGCCCTCCAAAGGCCGGAATACCCCTGGGTTTGGGCCTAATTTTTTGACCTGTGGCTCAGCCCGACCAGGCTTGAATTTTAATAGGAGCCCGCGAGACCTAACATAGGCCGAGCCGAATTAGATTTACACCCCTTCCTCCAATGAATTTACAATTCTATCCACCCCGCTTTATTATACTTCTTTTCCGAATTGATTTTTTTTTTTTTTTGGAACTGTGTTTTATTGTACTTCAGAGCTTGTTTGGCTATAGCTTTTTGGCTAAAAAGGTACAAAAAAATAAAATAAGTTAACGCTCAAGACCCAGCCCGAAGCCCTGCCCACTCGAGGCTTAGTGTCTTTTTCAGTGGAAAATAAAAAAAATTTAGTAAAAAAAATTTAAAAAAACAAAAAAAAAAATAGTTAGGCCGGCCCAAGCCCAAGGCCAGGCCAGGCCAGGCCCATTGGGCTGGTCTGAGGCCTGGCCCTCCAAAGGCCGGAATACCTCTGGGTTTGGGCCTAATTTTTTGACCTGTGGCTCAGCCCGACCAGGCTTGAATTTTAATAGGAGCCCGCGAGACCTAACATAGGCCGAGCCGAATTAGATTTACACCCCTTCCTCCAATGAATTTACAATTCTATCCACCCCGCTTTATTATACTTCTTTTTCGAATTGATTTTTTTTTTTTTTTGGAACTGTGTTTTATTGTACTTCAGAGCTTGTTTGGCTATAGCTTTTTGACTAAAAAGGTACAAAAAAATAAAATAAGTTAAATAAGTCAATAATACAAAATATTAATTGAAATCATAATCATTCCGTTTTTTTTCTCACAAAAGTCAAAAAAACTAAATCAAACAAATTTTTAATCTCAAATTAAAATAATCAAAAAGTCAAAAAACTAACTAAAAAAACCAATTACCAAACAACAACTCCAGAAGCCAAAAAAAGTTCTCCCAAAACATAATATATATGTATTATTTAAACAAAGTTGGCTGCTGCCACAACAAAGTTTATGGCAATGGAAATTTTCACTTTTGTATTCTAGGAATGGAAGTAATACGCTTGATAAACAAAAAAGGTGCTCGACTCAACTAAGAGAAGGGTCGGTCCAAATTACTAAGGCCTGTTTAGTACTGGTTTTAATTTTTTATTTTGAAAAATTGAATAAAAATATTTAATTCAAGTTCTGTTTATAGCACATGAAATAGCAAATAATTTAAATAAATTAAAAAAATACTAATTATTCGGAAGTTAATAAAAAATATTTTTAACCACTACTTTCTGATCATTATTTTCACCTTAGAAAAAAAAAAAAAAAAAAAACACCAAACTTACGTTAAATTTAGTCCTAGTTGTCACCATTGCAATAAATAATAATAAAAATTCCTGTCAGTATTGAATTTCAAACCACCAATGCATCAAATGTTAGGAAAATGCAAGAGATTTCAAAATTTTTACCAAAAGTTTCACATGGACGTGGACTCTATATTTATCTGGGACTCATTCCATATGAGACGATAAAACATTTGGTAGAAATTTTGATATCCTAGCATTACTCCAAATGTTATTGTAATGACCCGGTTTGACAATAGTTTTTTTAGCTAAAATAATTAATAAAGAAAAAATAAGTTAAAATAGTCAATAAGATAAAATGTTACATTCAAACTATAATCATTTTACTTTTTCTCTCACAGCCATCAAATTAATTACAAAAAAATAATAATAATAATTAATTTTTTCAAACACAACTTTTTTAGCCAATCTAAAATAGTTAAAAATATCTAAAAATCAACAAAAATAGTCAATTTCCTAAACGAGCCCCATATATGCATTTTCAATTTGGCTGAGAATCAGTAAGATTCGTAGGAGAAAGAACAAAATGGCAGAATTTTTTTTTACTTCAATTGACTTTCTTTTTTCTATATAAGTTTACATGTGAAAACAACTCAATACAAATCAGGCCCCCATACTTTCCAAATCTAAATTAAACTCAGCCAGATCTAATAGCCCTACATCGAATTAAGAGAATCGTAGATCTGAGCTCAATTGTCTTTAAAATCGATTCTTTTTGAAACTCGAGAGGTTTCGAAATATCGACGAGGGACATTGATTCTAAACTGGCTGAGAGGCAATTATGCTGATGAACAGGGAATGAGCCGATTCAATCGAGCGAGCAAGAGAGAGATCTATCGTGAGCATGTGAAAGAAACAATTTTGGAGAGCATATTTTGAGAACTGAGAAGTTGTATTTTGAAAGATACATGATGTAACGGTCATTTAGTTCACACCATAAGACGACAAATAAAGCATCGTAATATGCTCTTTTTCTTGTTGTGAGTTTGACATAGAACCATGAAACAACTAGCGGATGCCGCAAATAACGCTTTGTATTAGGCTCTTTTTCTTGTAGTGAATTTGACTCAAACCATATATTAACTAAAATTATATGAATAAAAACCAACTCGTGAATGATATATGCAATCCATGTACAATTCAAATAAATAACAATAAAAATTAATATCCTAATATATATATTGTCTAATTGGTAAAAATATTCTTAATAAAATCTAAGATGTGAAGTTTGAACCTTACTCACACCTATGAATAATAATTTTTTATTTTAACATATAAAAAATTATCACGTGACAAAAAAGAAGCCACCAAACACTTTAACACAATATCCAATGCTCACATATATAATAGTATAGTAATCTATAAATAGATAAATAGATGAATCCTTTCAAAAATTCAAAATCCAAACACATTATAGTGATTAGATGCAAACGATACACGCTGCAACAACCCTAGAACTACTACAAAACAAAAAGAAGAAAGAAAGAAGAAAAAAAATTATATATATATCTAAATATATATGCAAAGAAGCAACAAATAGGCCTGATCATGGACTCTAGTAGAACACACATCCAATCAGGGTAATCTATTCAAGAGACAATTTTGCAAAAATATGATATAATCCAAGTTACAACAGCAATGGTAAACTAGATACAAAAATACATTACTAAATTACAAATCAATCAAATTATGTCACTCCGAATGCAATATATATACCCGCCAAAATCTACAAATAAATCAAATGACAGCGCACTTTTCACACGCATATGACGTACGTAACCCAACCTATCACAGTTTCTGTGGGCAGGACACGACCACTCACAATAACTATTGAGAAAGAGAAGAAATATCATACATGGGGATAGAGGCAAAGGAAAAGAAAAAGGTGTAGCGCAATGATCTCCTATTCACAAGAAGAGAGGATAGATGCACCGCCTCCAATTCATGGCAAAAACCATTGGGCCAAAGCCCTTAAAGAAGCGAGGAGCTTTAAGAATTACACCTCCGATACACTTCATGGCAATAATTTGAATGAACACGCAGCCCTAGAAAATAATTTTTCAAGAATCACTCCAGCCATCAGCATCATCATCTTCATCACTTCCAGCCAATGCCTATATCACAAAATCATCAATTTCAATATCACAATGGAGCATATCTTAATATATGTGTGAATATATATATTTATACACTAGTGGTGGATGCAAACTTCATGCCTTTGCAATTATACATATAAATTTTTGGGCAGTTTGATAAATGAAGAAAGCTGTTTAACAGCTTTGAACAAGGAAAACTGTATAGCAGTTTTGGACAGTTTGATGAAGGAAAAAAAAAATTTGTTTAGCAGTTATTTGAAGTGGAGGGCATTTTTGGAAAAAGGAAAACCGTGACAGGATTCACCCAAATGGAGTGTATACTTTATATAATAGCAAAAATAAATAAATAGATATATAGAAAGATATATATACATATAGAGAGAGATACCTGACGAATGGAATTTGCTTTCTCCAAAATGGCAGCAACTTTTAAATTGGTTTTAGGACCCTGAATGCAGGGCCTTGTCGCGGCTGCAGGTCTCAAGTTGAACGACTGACAACCAAAATCAAATTCCATCATCAGCACAAACAAACAATTTATGTAAACATAAAAAATTAAAATGGGTGGAAATTTTTTTACTTCACCTTGGTTCTTATTTGTTCCAGTAGTGAATCTCTTTCATCCTCCACCTGTCCCATCTGAGGCCTAACCCGCTGTGTCACCTTCCTCAACTGCATGATGACTCAAAGTCAAGAAAGCATGTACCATCTAAATCTTGAGCACATTATAAAAGCTAGGAAAGGTGAGATCTAAAAAACCATCATTACCTTGCTTTTGTCAAGTGCAGCGACAGCATCAATGAGAGGATTTCGAGGCCAAGGAAGCTTCTTTTGCCGATTTCCATTTACCTTTCCATCTTCAAAAGTTGCAATTTGTCCCTCCGAAGTGGAAAAGATATGCTGGGGCCAATCATCCTGCATCACTGGTGGCGTAGAAGTTGTGTCTGGAGGATTTACCACTTTGCCCTCAGAAATTACAGAGGTCACGTCAAGCTTCTTGTCCTCTGAACTTGTTTGTGGTGCTGATTGATGCAGAGGCTGGATCGGGTTTTCCTGCAATGACCTGGGAGGATTTGTAGAACCTGTATCTTCAACATTGATCACTTGTGTGATTGGATTCAAAGTAGGTTGTTTTGTTCCTCCCTCGGAATCAAGGAAACCAAGTTGTGACCTCTCATTAAATATGGTAGGCAACGCTAAGAATGGGTTCGTGGATTGTGTTCTACCTGAAGTTCGGAAATCATTATCACTATTTCCATTGACCATGGTTGGCATTTGCAATGATAATGGAGTGGAATGACCATGCTCAGAATTCTCATCTTTTACAGGTGAGAGTGGTAAAAACAGGTTTGAAGGTTGGGTAATCTCTCCCTCTATTGGCAGATGACCCAATTGAGCTTTCTCATCAGCTGCAGATGGCAATATTTGTGGAGAAGGATCTAGATTATGTGGTACCAAATCTCTCTCGGGAGCTAAAGAAGCATGTTGAACCTTCCCTATCCTCCACTGCATCGGAGGAAGAGGTGGCAATGGAGGCATCCCATCCAAATTGGTTTTACATGCCTCAGGAAGCAGGCCAAAAGAAGGTAAGATTGAACTTGATGGATCTGTGGCCTGCTCAGACACATCGAGCTGTGGTCGGGACTCTGATATTGAAGATTGACTTGGATGTGCCACAAAAAAATCAAATGAAGCATCAGTGTGTCCTTCCTGATCCATGTGATTTGGAGATTGTATCTGTGACACATGAAAAAACAGCTCCATGCTTTCTTTACCTGAATGCGGAGATTCCACATCAAATCGATCAGCTTGTAACTCAACCTCTTGTTCCAAAGGAGTTCTTAGTTCAGGAACTTCCATATTTTGAATAACATTAATCTGCTGGGGAGATTTTGATTCTGAATCTTGGTCATTTTGACTTGAAGACAATGGGACTGTGTTTCCGGAGATTGCAACCATAGAGGAGTTGGGAACATTGTTGAGCAATTCTGGTTTGGAATCATCATAAGAGACTGTATTGGGCATAACAGAGTCCAAATCCGATGAAGCAACAGCCTGCTGATCCGCATCCTTTTCTGTACCAGCCTCTTGAAGACGATGCTGTGGAGAACATATCTCGTCGATTTCCAATCCATTCCGATGTAAATCCTGAAGAATAGAAACAGATTCTTCTTGCAACTTTGCACAACTTGTGAATAAAGATTTGCAATCATCTTCATTATCATCATAATGGGCGTCAGCCATGGTAGTAGCCACAATCATTGGTTCTGAATGAATGGTTTCTGTTACCACATCATCTAGACGCACATGAACCTCAGGATCTGATGGATGATCTGGAGAGTTATGGAAATCAGATGGTAATTTAAGGTCAGCATCGTCCCTTCCAACCATACCATTATCAGAGGAAAATCCACAGAATTCCTCGCCATATGCCCCATTAAAATCCCTATAAATATTTCTCTCTCTAGAATATGAAAAACCAACTTCTGAATCTGGTTCAAGCGGCGGACCATTTTCTATTATTTCTGGGAACTGCTGCTTTGCAAAGTCACCAGCCTGTGGATCTACTGCTGAAGTTGAGCTAATAGCTATCTCCCCAAACAATGGAGAACCATCCACTTCAGAAACTATATCATCGTGCTTTACATCTGGATCACAAGTTTCTAGTTCTGGCAAGGCTGAATCAAGTGGCTGCTCTTCTGTACATGATGCAACTGAATGTGGTGAGTCAATCTGAATGTCGACCGAAATTTTCGTACATTCATCTTCTGTGCATTCTTCCCGAAGGACATCATCTAACAAATTTTCACTGCTTTGCTTTGCAAGAGACGGCTCCAAGGTGTTTGAAAGATGCAGTGAAGCATCAGATGAAATCTGTGGATCCTCGTCATCAAACTCATACACAGGATGGTTTTCAGCAGACAACTCAGGAAGGAAATCATCTCTTGTTTGGGATGGAACATCAGAGAAATTCGATATGCAAGGTACATTATCACCCATATGAGTCGTATTTTCTTCAGGAATAATATCTCCAGCATTACGCTCATTGCAGTCAAACGATGTTGTATCCAATTCCAGTCCCACTGATGTAGGAGCAAAATCAGCAAGGCATGAATTAGAAGTTGGCTCTTCCAATTCAGGCCTGTAACTCAGCATCTCGACATTATCAATGCAAACACCATCGCAAATTGTGTGCTCTAGAAGTTGGGTTGATGGACTCTCCCCATTGACAGAGCACCTGTCAGACGACATATTAACAATATCAGCTTCACAAATTTCAGTAGATGAAAGAGCTATAACTGACACATCACCATCAGATGGGGAATTCTCAACCAAATTGCTTAGAGAATCAGAATATGAAAACCTAAATATTTCTTTTCCGGAGGAGACGTTTCCATCATCTGTCGCAGTTGAGTTTCCTATTGACTGCGAATCTGAAAAAAGAGCTTGAAAGTCCTGCTGTTCTTCACTTGCATCAGAATGCATTCCATAATTTTTAATATTCAAGAAGCGCCGAACATTCTTAGCCCTAGACTCAGCATCTGTTTCCATCTCTGAATCCATGCTAGCAAGGGCATCCATGTAATTCTCTACCTCACTTGCAATATCATCAGATTGGTAACCATCTGCACTGCCTTCTATTGTCCTTTCCCCATCAACCATTATTTCCTTTTCATCTACCTCTTGATGAAGTGCAGACAGATCACTATCTGCTTCAGAATTAGGGTTCAGTTGGGGTACTTCTACAATTCCATAATTGACCACCTCACTCAACTCATCCATGGGTAAGTTTTGTCCAGTCTGATCTGCATCAGGAGATGAACATGGGCTATGCTCCCTCTGCGGTGATTCGTTTTCAGGATTCATTGTACTGATTTCAAGTATTTCAATCCCTGATTCACCAGGAATATTGGATGGTAATCTCAAGGGCGATGAGTTACCAAAACTTTCAGATAAGACATTATGATCTCGTGTAGGAGTTTTCAAGAATTTCTCCATGTAACTTTTCCCAGTTTTTGAGTCAAATGGAAATCCATTCAGCTTTCTCTTCAGTTTCACACGATTTGCAGGGTCAACAACATGATTCTCAACACTCTCCTCCAAAAATAACTGATGCAATCTGCATATCATGCAATATGAGTCAGTAATCGGTAAAATAATCAGAGGAAATCTCATGCACCATTATGAAATCAAAGGTCTCACTTGGTCTTGGCATGTGATGTAGGCAGAACTTCTGGGGTTTCTCCATTCCTCCAGCGTGACCCTTTCTTCTGCCAAAAATAAAGAATAAACATAAATGTTAAACTTTGTTAAAGATTTCAACGTGACACACACCCACAAACCCCAGTTGCAAGTTGCATTGACCAAAAGGGGAATGAGCTGATTGCCAAATCCATAAGTTTTTAATTCCCAAAAGTAACACTATAGTTGTAAAACTAATCATGACCAAAAAGTAAAAAAGAACTGAATTGAATATTTTAAATGTTGCAGAATTGGTATTTCAATTGATGGTCAATACAGAGAAAAATAAATAAACAATGCCCAATTAGTAAACATTAATGGTCAATACAGAGAAATGGGAAAAAATGTGCTTCTCATAATGCAGAATTGAGAACCACATAACACCAGATATTAATGTGAATGCATGTGTTCTCATGTGCAAGTGTTTTCACACATGCAGACAGGGCATAGACAGCAGATTTGAATAAGAAACAAATCAATCATTCTGGGTCTTTAATAACACAATGTGAAGCAAAAGTAGCATTATTCTCATTGATTCACCTTTGCTTTGCGGGTTTTCTTTTCCCTCTGAACTTCTGCATTCATCATTCTCGCGGATGACGAGTCCACCTTAAAGAATGACGGATCAGTGTAGCGCTTCAAACATGCACCCGCTCCCGCAACATCAAACCTGTTAGAAGCCATGTAAATTTAGTAAGATTTTCAATCCATAATTGGGATATACTGTTACTAACTGTGAAACAGCTCCAGTAAACCGTGTCAAAAAGTCATACTTGTCTAGGAGGAATAACCGAGGTGGACCCCGACATTCTTCATAAGAGTCCATAACAAATCGAGGTAGATCTTCCTGCGTGATCAGATTCTGGCCCATACGCTGATTAGGATGCCAGTCAACACCTGCAAACATCCATATTACCATGACCTCTGTTGTGTAATATAGAACCATTTTTTGTTGGAGTCTAGAAAAGAGAGTGCTCTTCAGTAGACTCACTCAATAATCTCAAAGAATAAGTTTCAATGATAGATATATCCTATGTTACACGGACGCGGGTGCGGGTGCGTATCTAAGGGACGGACACTTCAAAATTAAAAAGTAAAGATACGTGGATATGTATCCAAATTTGGATACAGGTACGGAGATACGTGAAATATATATATATATATTTTTTAAATATAGTTATTAAGATGAGTTATATTATATAACTAACAAATAATTATTTTACATATATGTGTTTATTTATTTTTATTAATATATATAAGTATATATTATCTTATAAATATATTATATGATATACAATAATTATTATATAATATATAATAATAATTGTTATTATTATAATTATTATAATAATAGTTATTAACTATTATTATTTTATATAGATATATACGAATGGATATAGATGTGAATCAAGAGACAGGGATGTCAATCAGTAAAGTCAAGGATAAAACGAGAGAGAGAGAGGGAGAGAAGCGAAGCAAAGTGATCGATCGATCGTGATTACGATCGCGAGGGAGAGAGAGAAAGCGAGAGAGAGAGAGTCGTCCGGGGGTGTTCGACTGTTCAATCGACTGATGGAGCTTCGATCTTTGACTGGATCGATCGGATGGAGCTTCGACTGGAGGTCGTCGATCTTCGACTTCCACTGGATCGATTTCAACCAAGTTCTCTCTTGCTCTCTCCTCTTTCATTTCTTTTGCTGCCTATTAAGAGCCGTGTCCGAGAGAGAAAAGCCGAATCCGACACAGATCCCACACCCGCACCCATGTCGTGTCGTATCGTGTCGTGTCGGCACAAGTACTTCGCCCCAAAGTGCCGAGTTTGTGTAACACAGGATATATCCATAGTGTAACGCTAGGCAGTTTCATCAATAGAAAGGTAGAATCCTAATAAGTAACCAAATTGAGGTTGCCCCCAAGGACACAAGATTTTCAAATTCAGCAGCTGTTTTAGGAGAGTAATCTAACCAGTATTGTAAAAGAATAATGAGTGACTGGTTTGGGAGAGAAATGCCTTCTCGATAGAGGGGAATTCTGCCTCAAGCTGTTGGACACGAACCATTAAACCATGGCCTCTTGCAGCAGTAGCCATCACTTGTTCATGCAAGTCATGAAATATCTCAGCAGCAAACCTTCAGAAGTCACAATAAACAAGCAATCATGTAGAATTCTCATGTTAAAACTTCTAAAGATAAATACAAGAGGCTTGAATTGCAGCGGATCGTAAATCTGGGAAAACAAAATTAGGGTCACAACCAATTATTCCTCAAGAAGGACCAAACTTTTATGCTATAAGATTCTTGATGCAAAAATTTAAGACATCGTAGATGATTTACTTGCTTCCTCATAGCTGTATAACACAGATTTGGAAACGTAATAATGACAAGATATTTTTGCAACAAATATTGTGGGAACAAAAATAATCAAAGTCTCATGCAATATTAGCATATCCTACAAATCACATTTCTCAAAAAATATTATGCAATAAATCCTGGAACATTTATGATACCGTGCTACAAAATCATGATTCCGTCATGGTGTTAGAAAGTATAATACTTCTTTTTTTTAGGCTATGTCAGTGAAGTGGGTCATCCAAGATCATGTGCCTATTAAATAAATAAAAAAACACAAAGTCTACCTTTACAACTTGTTCACTTAAGGAGCAAGACAAGACTGGGATCTGGAGATTGCTTAGTAAACTCAATCTAACCAGCTAAGTAGGTTTAAAGTTCCTAACATCATCATCATTATAGACACTGTTATTATTGAAAACTACACGGGATAAATCTCATGAACTTCTTCACATGGGATAAATTACATGACAATGCAATGCCAGAATACGATTCATCAAAAACAGATTCTTGATTCCAACACATGAATCGAAAGATAATTCAACATAAATTCAGAGAATTTGCAATGTTAAATCTTTGAATGTATCCACAAATTCGATTTCTGTTAAATTTCTTATTCTTTAAGTTATTCAAATACAATACAAGAATGCAGATCTCTGTATTATCCAATTTCTAATCTGGGTTTTATGGTTAGCTTCTCATGCCCATTTGTTTTTACGCAATCACCCAATTAGACAATAGCAAACAACTATTCCAATTCAATCTTTCATCTTCCATTACCCAATTTTAGAAATTCAGTCCAAGAACAGAAAAACAAAAACATCCAATTCCAACAGATCACAGACCCATTCCCCAAACAAATTCCCATCCCATTGGCAAACATTTCATTCACCGGAATTACACAAACATCATCAAAGAAACCCAAATCGAGGCCCTAATTACACAGAATTTTAGTTCAATTTTCAAAACGCGAGAGAGAGAGAGAGAGAGAGAGACTGACTCAGCTAAGTCGCCGAGCTGGCGCAAGACGCCGACGAGGCCAGCCATGGCGACACCTTCCAACAAAGCTTGGGGATCATCCTTATCTGCTGCTCTGTAGAGCTCTGGATCAGCCAAGCTGAACTCATTCCTTACCTGATACCGAGTTAATGGCATATTCTCCTACTCCGATCAATTACCAAAACCCTAATTCTTCAGCTAAATTTAAACTACTCCTCTCTCTCTCTCTCTCTCTCTACAACTCCCACACAACATTCCCACCATGAATAACCTGAAAATGTATATATGTATATTTATATACAAATATACTAATCATACAATACAAGTGTATACAGAGACCTAGAGAGAGAAAAGCACAGAGAATTTTGATTTTGGGTTGGGTTGGTGGGGGTTTCAATGAATAAACAGTGAGAGAGAGAGAGAGAATTTTGTATTTACAAATGATAAAACTGGGAGAATTTTGGAATGAAAAAGCTTAAAATACGCGGGTGTGTACAGAGCGCGCATCGTGGCGCATATTGTGGTCCCTCGTATTTTTTTGATCATGCATCCCGCGTTATATAAACGTATGCTTTCTGGAATAAAATAAAATAAAATAAAAATAAGAGTAAATTACTTGGTAGATCTTAATAGTTGATTTTATTTTCATTAAGTTTTTTTTAAAGTAAAGTTTAATAAAATAATAATTAAAAATAATTTTTTATGTCAATTTTATATACGTCGTTAATAATTAATAATTAATAATTTTTTTATCACGATTTTTATACATTATCCTTAAAAATTATAATTAATGACTTTTTTTTATGACGATTTTTTTAAATTGTCACTAAAAGTTAAGAATTAATGACTTTTTTGCAACGCTTTTTTAAACTGTAACTAAAACTTATGATTAATAATATTTTTTATGATAAAATTATCAAACAATTGCTGAAAATTACTAATTAGTAACGTTTTTTAATAAGTTTAATGAAAACGTCATTAATTCATACAAACCCTATTAGACAATAAGTTCACATATTATGACTTATACGTAAATCTCTCTAATTTTAATGAATCAATTAAACGTCAAAAAATACATTTTATCAATATATATATATATATATATATTAAGGCCTCATTTCAGAACATGTTTTTTTAGTAACATTTTAGTTTTTTGGTTAAACTATGATATAAAAAAAACTAGTATGTTTATGATGAATTTTTAGTTTTTTACGAAAATATGTACAAAAAGTAGAGAGAAAATAGAATCTTTTACTTTTTTTTGTATAAGTTGTTGACTTTTTGAATTATTTTTAGTGACTTTTCAATTTTTTTTAGTGATTTTTTTTTATTTTTAAGCTAAAAAGTGATATAATCAAACGAGACCTAAGTTTCACTCACTTATATAATAAAATAATTTCACATAAACTTTTAATTAGTTAAATAAAATCTAATAACTTTGTATTTATGCAATAATTGATGGTTAGAATTCTTAAGCTGCTATTTGGCGAGTGAATTGAGTTTGGGTTAGGATTAAAAAAGTAAAAAATAAAATAAATTAATTTAAATAAATTAATAAAATAAAATATCACATTTAAATTATAATTATTTTATTATTTTTATAAAAAAATAAAAATATCCAAAAATTCCTCCCACACGAAATTAAAAATATCAAACACAAACAAACCCTTAACAAAAAAAGGTGGGTGCATGTGGATTGCGACCAAGCGTGGTTGGGACTTGTGAGTGAGACGTTTCATTCTTACATAGCTTCCCTATAAAGTCCATTCATGGTATGATATAAAAATAAAAATAAAAATAAAAATAAAAATATTAAATAAAATAAAAATAAAAATAAAAATAAAAATAAAAATAAAAATAAAAATAAAAATAAAAATAAAAATAAAAATAAAAATAAAAAACTTGTCTGTTTGGTTTAAGGGAAAAAAAAATATCAAAATATTATAAATATTAATAATTATAATTATAATTTTTTTTATTAATTTATAATAATTTTTGAAGATTAACAGTAATTAGTAATTTTTTCTCAAATTTTCAGGTGGACCCCACTCTAATGGAAGTATATGGATCTCGCGCATTGGCAATTTCTTTTTCACGCCAGTAAAGTTTTGTTTGTTTTTTTCATTGTCTTCCTTTCTCGCATTAAAAACGATAACTAGCGAGAAAACATATTTGTCGGTGAATTCCATGATTCTTTTCACATTTTGATTCCGTTTGTTTCTAAGTTAAAAAATATTTTATCTAATCTCTAGTGTTTGGTCGAGCAAAATCTATGAAAAATATTTTTTACTAGGGAAATATTTTTCATTGTTTTTTTTTTTCTCACATTAAAAATGGTAACTGACGAGACAATAATATTTGTCGGTGAATTCCACGATTCTTTTTGCATTTTGATTCCGTTTATTTTGATGTAAAAAAATATTTTACCTAATTTATAGTGTTTGGTTGAACAAAATCTATGAAAAATATTTTCCATTAAAAAAGTGACAAGTGATTTTAGTTTTCGAAATCCGTAAGCCAATTGTGAGTCGCTCAAGTTGGAAAGTTCAAGATAGCAAGACATTGAGATTTGATTTGAATTTTTTTTTTTTTAATATCAACCAAACATCCGAAAATAAAATTGAGAATTATTTTTTTCATAAAATCCTTTTACATATAAAATAAATTTTATTGTAAAATATTTTACATCCAAACAAACAAACAAAAAAAAATTATTTATTTTATAAAAGCTCTTTCCTCAACTTTATAAAAATCTACTTTTAGTTATGGTTATAAATTAGGGCAAATTACATATACACCCCTCGAGGTTTGGTTAAATTACAGATACCCCCTGAGGTTTCAGAAATTACATCCCGCCCCCTGAGGTTTGTATTTTCATAACAATTTACCCCCTGATGTTTATATTTCATAACAAATTACCCCCTAATTTCTTATGCAAATATAGCATTCAAGGGAGAATTCGTAATTTCTCAAACCTCAAGGGGGTATTTGTAATTTAGCCAAACCTCGAGGGGTGTATATGTAATTTGCCCTATAAATTATGACACATTTTCTTCAAAATTTCTCCCTCTAAAATTTTATACAGTAATGTCATTGTGTTGGTCAAATTCATTTGAAGTATAAATCCCACTACACAATCTTTTATCTAGAAGATGTATTATTTTTCTATGTCTTGATAGTAGTGGCGGCGGCGGCGGCGGCATGGTAGTGGTGGCGATGGTGTGGTGGTGATAGCAGCAGCTATGACAGTGGTGACGGTGGTGGTAATCATGGTAGTGGCATGATGGTAGTGGTGATGATTGTAAGAAGTTTATAATAGTATATATTGATATTTATTTTTGGTATGGTGGTGTTTGGGAAGGAAATTTTTTGGTTTTTTATTTTTATTTTTTTTCACTAAAAAACAAATTAGTTACAAAATCAAAAAAACTAAATCCAAACAAAATATCACATCAAATCCCATAATCATTTCACTTTTTCTCTCACAAATATCACATTCAATCACAAAAAAACTCAACTACTTCCCAAACATAAAAAAAAAAATTCTCCAATAATATCCTACAACTAAAAAAACCTACAAAAAAATCCACTTCCCAAACACCCACATAAATTCAGTCATAATTAAGTATATTTTATATAACTTAAATTTTAATTTACATTTTAAGAGACACTTGATATCAATTATGATTATCAAACTAATTTAATTGATTATCATTTTCAGTTTTAACTGTTGAATCAAGTTATCAAACATAAATTGCTTAACCATAAGGACGATCCTAACTATCATTTTCATTATCATTGCCTCTACCACTATCACTTTGTTACCATTATCACTGCTATCTCCACCCCTATCACTACCACTATCACTACCACCAGCGCTCTACCACTACTAATACAATCATTGATATATTAATTTTAATGAATCAATTAAACATCAAAAAAATATTTTGAATAGAAAGAGCCATGTTGTCTTGGGTCAAGATATTGAGATTTGATTTGAAATTTTTTTTTTTTGAATAATAACCAAACATCCGAAAATAAAATTGACATCTATTTTTTTCATAAAATCCTTTTACATAAAAATAATTTATATTATAAAATATTTACGTCGAAATAAACAGAACCTTTATATGAATTTATTTATTTATAAAAGTTTTTTTCCTCAGTTTTATAAGAACAATTTTCTGTGTACAATAAATAAATTGAAACAAAATCAAATAAATAAAATAAATAACTTACAAAATTTATTTTATCGAATGAAAAATAAAAGGTCAAGTCGAGTGTGAGATACTCTGTCCTCAAGACAGATTCGCCCCGCTACGGTGCTTACGGTAAGTGGCATCTATCTCCCAAGATACAATGATCTTCACAAATTTGTAGTAGCACTCCAAACAAATTTGTCCGGCGAACTAGAACCTTGTGTTCTATACTCTCTTAAATTTTTCTCTAAAACTAGAATGAAGGAAAAATAATGCAAAGGAGAAAATTGGACAACAAAATACAAATTTCAGACTGATTTTTTAGATCTCAATACTACTGGAACAGATCTGAATTTATAGGCAAAAATTCTATCCCGAACAGGTACATACAAGAAGTGAACAAGTGTGAAACAGATTTGAACAAATGCAATTTGAATACAAACAGATCTGTAGCCAATATTTTGAATTTGTTCGGCAGTTTAAAATGCAGAATTCAGACAGAAGAGGCATCAAACATAGACAAAAAAATTTAAATTCAATTTTGGAATTAAATTAAATTTTCCCGCAATAATTTTTTTAAAAATTCAAAAGAATTTTGTGCAAAAAATTAATACAAGAACTAACCCAACCCACACCCGCGCCCGGTGGTTTGGGCTAAGGTTCATTTTGTCTATAACTCTTCCATTCTACAAACTTGGGATGCCCCTTGGGGCCCAACCTAAGTATTGTACTCTAGAGCTTATATACATACACAAGCTTTCTTAAAGTTTCAATGTAGGATAACCCATTTTAAGGAAACCCACATTTCATTCTTTAAATGTCCAATTCCACGAACCCGAAAACGACTTTAACTTTCCATTCACTCATAAATGGTTTTGACGAACCGTCTTTACTGTGTGACTTATCATACAGCAAGGAATATGTCACCTTTTCAAACTCACCCCAAAAAAGGGTTAGGGCCCATTCTATTTTGAGCTCAAAATTGGTCCAAAATAAACCTTATAAACCAATTTTTCTAACATTTCCGTTGAAATAAACAGAACCTTTATGTGAATTTATTTATTTATAAAAGTTTTTTTCCTCAGCTATAAAAATCTACTTTTTCTTATAGTTATAGATTATGATACTTTAAAAAAAAAAAAAAAATTTCTCTCTCTAAAATTTTACAAAGTAATGCCAGGCATGGAAAATTCAAGAAAAATAGTGTGTTGGTCAAATTCATTTAAAATATAAATCCCACTACACAAGTA